ACAAGTTTTTAAAAAGAAAAAAATAGGAATTAAAGTGTAAAGAAAAAAGAAAAACTAGGGGCACCTGGCTGGCTCAGCTGGACAGCATGTAACTCTTGATCTCAGGGTCATGAGTTCAAGTCCCACTTTGGGTGTAGAGATTACCTAAAAACTTAAAAAAACAAAACAAAAAACCAACCTATGCTCCTGTGTTTCCCCTTTACTCACACCAGTACCATACTCATAACCCTTCTGACACCAGATGTGTGGGAGTTTTTCCCACACCAAGCAATTCTATGACACCAGCTGGGTGCCCTACAATTTAACTCAGTCCTGACACCATCTACCTGGAGATAGCTAGCGTCAGATCCCACCAGTGAAAGGCTCAGTCTATGAGACTGACCACACTTTAGATGCCAATCACAAGTAGTGGGTCCCCAGGTTACCCACAATGTCTGTCCAACTTGGCTCCAGATCAGAGGCTCTTGCGACCTCCTCTTGGATTTGATTATTTGCTAGAACAGCTCGCAGAACTTGGGGGAAAAACTTATTTATGTTTACCAACTTATGAAAAGATATGACCAAGGATACAGATGAACAACCAGATAAAAGGATACATCGGGCGAGGTCTAGGAGGGTCCCGAGCAAAGACACTTCCATCCTGTGGTGTTGGGGGTATGTCATCCTTCCTGCACACAGATGTGTTCACCAACCTGGAAGCTCTCTGAACCCCATACTTTGGGGGTTTTTAGGGAGGCTTCATCAGAAAAGGCATGATCGATGGTTAACTCCATTTCCAGCCCGTCTTCCCTCTCGGGAGAATGGGGGGTGGGGCTGAAAGTTCCAAGCTTCTAATCATGGCTTTGTCCTTCTGGTGACCAACCCCCAGCCAGGAGCCCACCAACACCCACCTCGTTAGAACAAAAGACACTGCTATTACCCAGGAAATTCCAAGGGATTTGGAAGGTCTGTATCAAAAATAAGGGTCAAAGACCAAATATGACAGCAAAAGATGCACCTAGTACTGTTACCACTTAGGAAATTAGAAGGGTTTTAGAAGCCCTGTGTCTGGAATTGAGGGGGGGGCAGTACAGAGAGTATATAGATTTTCTTTTTTTTTTTTTTAAAGATTTTATTTGAGAGAGAGACAGAGATAGCGACAGAGAGCACAAGCAGGGAGGAGAGAGAGAAGCAGGCTCCCCACTGAGCAGGGAGGTGGACGTGGGGCTCCATCCCAGGACCCTGAGATCATGACCTGAGCTGAAGGCAGACGCCCAACCAACTGAGCCACCCGGGTGACCCTAGAGTATATAGATTTTCTATTATCTCACGATACTGATAGAGAAGGGAGACCTCTTTTTTTTTAAAGTGGTTCTTTTTTTTTTTTAAGATTTTATTTATTTATTTGGCGCCCCGAGAATGGAGACCTCTTGCTTATAGTAGAATGAGGAGAGCCAACTCACAAATACGAAGTTAGTGCTAGCATTGGAAAAGCACCACTTTGCAAACATGATGGTAAAGATTGGCTCAGGCAAGAATCACCACCAGAAAAAAAAAAAAAAAGAATCACCACCAGAAGGGGCGCCTGGGTGGCTCAGTCGTTAAGCGTCTGCCTTCGGCTCAGGTCATGATCCCAGGGTCCTGGGATCAAGCCCCGCATCAGGCTCCCTGCTGGGCGAGAAGCCTGTTTCTCCCTCTCCCACTCCCCCTGCTTGTGTTCCCTCTCTTGCTCTGTCTCTGTCAAATAAATAAAATCTTAAAACAAAAAAAGAAGTACTTTGTAGCGGAATAAACTCATAAGGTTGATAACTGTACTCTGGTCATATAAGATAATACACACTGAAGTATTTAGGGGCAAAGGGCCATGATATATGTAAATGGCTCAGAAATGATAAAGGAAATAGGGTAAAATGTTGACTGTAGGGGAATCTGGATAAGGGGTGTAGAGGTTGGGCATTGGGGAGGGTATGTGCTATGGTGAGCGCTGTGAATTGTGTAAGACTGATGAATCACAGACCTGTACCTCTGAAACAAATAATACATTATATGTTAATAATAAAAAATAATAAATAAATAAAATAAAGGGTATACAGGTGTTCCATGTACAAGTTTTATTTTATTACTTTGAGAGAGAGAGCACACACGAACAGGGGTGAGGGAGGAAGGGCAGATGGAGAGGGAGAGAGAATCTTAAGCAGGCTCCACACTCAGCGAGGAGCCCAGCCCAGGGCTTGATCTCACAACCCTAAAATCAGGACCCAAGATGAAATCAAGAGTCAGTCGCTTAACTGACTGAGCCCCCCAGGTGCCCCTCCTTGGACAATTTCCAACTTTACAACTTAAAAAAAAAGTCAGGCTTTCACAATCCAACACATTGTTCAGAGCCTATTTTGGAAGTTGAAAGCCCAGAAAGTTGTTCTGTTTTCTGCAGAAAGCCTCACTTTCATTTAGGTGATAACAGGTACCTGTGTAAAAGAGAACTATTTAGGACAAAAACTATACAGGGGCTAAAATTCCAAAATATTAACCCACCTCACCATCTTGTTCAAACGCCTGGAAACAAACTTACCATACATTCATTGATTTCCAACTTCTAAATATAAAAGCATAATAAATGTATAAATTACCTATTAATCAAAAATATTCAAATTCACATTTAAGTAGGATAAAAAAAAATTTTTTTTTCTGCTGAAAATAAGTGCTATGTGCCCTGTGACCTGGTCCCAGTGACCCAAGGCAAATGTGCTGAGTTCAACTGGCACACCCTTGGTCTACTTTCAACTCTTCAGAAAGACTTTGCAATCCTCCCCTCGCCAGTGGAGCTTGGCGTTCTCATGCCTGCCTGCGCACCTTCCCTTCTCCTTAGCCTCCAGCACTCAAGCCCAGATGTAGACTCTCGGGTTCCGTGGGGCTTCCTGGTTACAAGGTGGTTATCTAGGGCAGAGAGATTATGCATGAACATTTTTTTCCAGATCTTTTTTTATTAAAACAGAGAATTTTTTTTTAAATTTTGTTTATTTGACAGAGAGAGACACAGCGAGAGAGGGAACACAAGCAAGGGGAGTGAGAGAGGGAGAAGCAGGCTTCCCGCCAAGCAGGGAGCCGGATGTGGGGCTCGATCCCAGGATCCTGTGATCATGACCTGAGCCGAAGGCAGACGCTTAGCGACTGAGCCACCCAGGCGCCCCTAAAACAGAGAATTTAAACATTTTTTTCATAGACTACTTACAGATCCCAAAGAACATGCATGGAGCTAATTTTAAGGTACAATGGTTTTGGAGCAGCATGGGGAAGCAGGGCAGGAATCATAGCCACCTCTAGACTGCTACTGGGGCCAACCTGCGTGCTGCCCCCCACCCCACCGCTGTCACCGCCAAGCCCAAGAGGAAGGCTGGAGGAGAAGCTAAAGAAGAAAAAAGCCCAAGGGAAGGATGAGCCACAGAGCAGGTGGACATCCTTTCCTGTTTAATTTGAGCTTCGTAAAAAGGCCGAGCGAAGCATGTGATTATTTATAACTATGTTCTATGTGTTCTGTACTAACCGAATGACTTTATTAAAAAAATATTATTTATTTACTTATTTATTTCAGAGCGAGAGAGCATGGTGGGGAGGGGGAGGCAGAGGGAGAGAGAGAATCTCAAGCAGACTCCCTACCCAGTGTGGAGCCCGACGTGGGGCTCAATCCCACGACCCTGAGATCATGACCTGAGCAGAAACCAAGAGTCAGACGCTCAACTGACTGAGCCACCCCAGGCACCCCTGTACTATCTAAATGACTTCTATCAAGTTTTATTATACCAAAGCAGGATTCTTTTTTTTTTTTTTTTTATTCACTATGTTAGCACAGAGAACGTCTCATTGTTCCAGGGAAGGGCAAATGTCACCAACAGTATCTCAGAAACCAAGTGAAATAGCCTTGAGGCAAAACAAGAGTTCGCTTCCTTGGTTTTGGGAGTATTCTTGGTTGCCAAGAGAAGGGATCCAATCCACTGACATTCACAGTTGCTATGGCATTTGCCTGTGGTGTGAGGAAGTGAAAATTCATTTTTAGGTCCTCTTCTCTTTTCCTCTGTGCCCTTAGAATGAACTTTATGTCCTGAAACTCGGACCTGTCGGTACCTGGCGCTCCTTTACTGAAGGGCTCCAGGTCTAGTCTTTTCAGTGAGGACATCGACACAGAGTTTCTTAATTCCTCAGAATCAAGGTCTGCTTGTGAAAGGAGTTAAGATGTTAATTGTTCATCATCTCTAAACTTTTCCCATTCATATCATCAAATAAAGACTTCCTTGGGTTTTATAGCTTTCTCCTTTTTTGTAAGGAAATAGGGGGAATTGAAAGTTATTGTAGACCATGGCCACCCATGACCTGCCTGAAATATTGAGATTGTTAATGAAAATTAGCTTTAATAACACGGACAAATTTGGAGAGACACAGAGAGAATGAATCACTGGCTCGATTAAAATATTCCTGGGCTCTGATTCCACGTCCATCAGACAACCTTCTGAGGGCTGATCTGAGCTCTCAAGTGTCCTCGTGATAGGAAGAGAGAGATTTGAACAGTGAGCATGAGGGTTTATTTGTGGAAACTGACAATCAAATTCTAAAATTAGGATGGAAATTCAATTATATGGAATTGCAAAGGACCTAGAAAACCAAAGCAATCTTTAAAGAATATTGCTGGAAGATGTACTTTATCAGATATTAAGACTTCCTGTAAGCTACAATAATTAAGAAAATACGATGTGGGGCAAGAATAGATAAAGAGACCAATGGAAAGGAACAGAAAGCCCAGAAACACTCGGACAGTCACAGGACGAATGACAGGATTGAAACTAGGGAGAAGGCCTAATCTTTTCTATAATTGGTGTTAGGTCAAATTGACATCTATATGAAAAAAAATATTAACTCTCACCTCACACTAAAAACAAAAATTAACTCAGAAAAGGGGCACCTGGGTGGCACAGTCAGTTGAGTCCGACTCTTGGTTTCAGCTCAGGTCATGATCTCAGGGTTGTGAGATCAAGCCCCATGTCAGGCTCTGAGTTCAGTGCAGAGTCTGCTTGAGATTCCCTCTCCCTCTCCCCCTGCCCCTCCCACTTGCGCTCTCTCTCTAAAATAAATAAATTAATCTTAAAAAAATTAACTCAAGGGGCGCTGGGGTGGCTCAGTTAGTTAAGTGTCTGCCTTCAGCTCAGGTCATGATCTCAGGGTCCTGGAACTGAGCCCCATGTCAGGTTCCCAGCTCAGCAGAGAGTTTGCCTCTCCTCTCCCTCTGCCCCACCCCTCACCCACTCATGCCCTCTCTCTCTCAAATAAATAAATAAAATATGTTTTAAAAATTAACTCAAAATGTAGCACAGACCTAAATGTAAAGCTAAAACCATAAAATTTCTAGAAGAAAACAGAGGAGAAAATCTTAGTGACCTTAGGTTTGGCAAAAAGTTCTTGAATATGATACAGAAAGCAGGAACTACGGGAGAGAAAATTGATAAGCTGGACTTTATCAAAATTAAAAACTTTCACTTTGAAAGGCAAAGCCACAGAATGGGAGAAAATATTTGCAAAGCATATCCACCATATCCACATATCCAGTTTTATCTAGCATTACAGAACTCCTTATACTCAGTAAGACAAACAATCCAGTTAAAAAAAAAGAATGGCAAAAGACCTTAATTTACCAAAGAGGCTAACAAGCACATGAAGACATGGTCAACATCATTAGCCATTACGGAAATGATATTAAAACCACAATTTACACATACCCACCAGAATGACGAAAATTAAAAAGGTTTACCATACAAGGTGTTGGCAAGTATGTGGAAGAACAGAAACTCTTTCACTGCTGTTGGGGGTGTGGTACAACCATTCTAGAAAAAGTCTGGTAGCTTCATAAAGAGGTAAACGTACACCTACCGTATGACCCAGCCATTCTACTCCTAGGTATTTATTCAAGGGAAATGAAAGCATATGGCCACATGAAGACTTATACACACATATTCATAGTAGCTTTATTCGTAAAAGCCCCCAAACTGGAAACAACCCAAATTTCCATCAAATACACGCGAAAACAAACTGTGGTATTTCCATACAATGGGAAATATTCATCAATAAGAAGAAATTGTTGATGGATGCGACCACATGGATGAATCTCAAAATAATTATGCTGCAAGAAGCTAGTGTCCAAAAAGGACATTCTTTTTTTTTAAAGATTTTATTTATTATTTGACAGAGAGAGAATGAGAGAGAGCAAGCACATGAGACGGGGGAGGGTCAGAGGGAGAAGCAGACTCCCTGCCGAGCAGGGAGCCCGATGCGGGACTCGATCCAGGGACTCGATCCAGGGACTCCAGGATCATGACCTGAGCCGAAGGCAGTTGCTTAACCAACTGAGCCACCCAGGCGCCCCAAAAAGGACATTCTATTCTATTTATATAAAATTCTAGAAAATACAAATGACTATGTAGTAATGAGAGCAAACTTCTGAAGGTAATGGATGTCTTCATTATCTTGATTTGGGTGATGATTTCATACATCGTTATAAAAACATATCAAATTGTACATTATAAATATGTTGTTTATTTTTTTTAAGACTTTATTTATTTGACAGAGAGAAAGAGAGCACAAGTAGGCAGAGAGGCAGGCAGAGGGAGAGGGAGAAGCAGGCTCCCCGCTGAGCAGGGAGCCTGACGCGGGGCTTGATCCCAGGACCCTGGGATCATGACCTGAGCTGAAGCAGACACTTAACAACTGAGCCACCCAGGTTCCCCTAAATATGTTGTTTATGGAGCGCCTGGCTGGCTCAGTTGGTACACCCCTGACTCTTGAACTCAAGGTCATGAGTTCAAGCCCCACGTTGGATGTACAGCTTAAAAAAACTTTTTAAAAAATTTATTTATTTGACAGAGAGAGCACAAGTAGGCAGAGCAACAGGCAGAAGGAGAGGGAGAAGCAGGCTCCCCGCTGAGCAAGGAGCCCGAGACGCAGGGCTCGATACCCGGACCCCGAGATCATGACCTGAGCCGAAGGCAGACACTTAACCCACTGAGCCACCCAGGGGCCCCTTCTATTCATTTTTATAATTTATTCTCTTCCTCCCACCTCTATGCTGTTGGGGCCCCACAGAGCCCTTTTCCTGGTGATGCACTCACCCCATATGTGCCTTAAGTGTTGGCTGTCAACTCACAGCTGCCCCTGCCAATAACTGATGGGAAATGAGGGTGTGGGAGAGAAGGGAGAGGGTACAAAAGACTGGCTTTCCTGTGGTAAGGAGGCCTAACTCTGTGGTGCAATTTATGCAGTTACCTGTAGGATGGGGCTGAAGCTAGTTTCCACTTGAGGCCACTCTCCTGCTTCCCTTGTTTCCCTGCCCTGTCCTGTTTCTCTCACACCCTTCTCCTGAGAGCACTTCCCCAGTAAATCACTCAAACAAGAATTCTCATCTCTGGCTCTGCTTCCGGGAACCTGACCCATACCACCCTCGGTAAGCCTCACGGGGACTACCTTGTTCGTTCCCTTACATCAAATCCCTATCTCCGGCTCTGCAGAGCTGTGCCTGGAACGCAGCAAACACTCTATACATGTGTTGCGTGAATACGGGGAGAGCGCAGAGTCTGCTTTATGGCTGGACTGTGGGCACCCCTCCTGTCCTGGGCTAGTCTGGCCTGGCGGCATTGTGAGTCACAGCTGGTGGAGAGCAGCTGAGCGGTTCAGACATGGGCCAGGCCTGGGGCAGCAGCTCAGCACCTCCAGCACGTCCTTCAGGTGAGGCCCAACCTGCAGGGAGGATTACTGGGAAAGGGCCTCTGGGAGGATGCAGCCTTGCAGGCAGGCCGGCTGCACCCTCTCGGGCCCTCTTTGGGCTTTCAGAGATGGCACCCTCAGTCAGATCTAGGGAATAGTACCATCCCCTCAGCCCAGCTATGTGCAAGAGGAACACGTGTGTATTGGATCCATGTAGGCATGACAGAGGGTTCCTTCCCTTTTCACCCTCCATGTGGGAGAAGAGGGAACATATAATCCTTTTCCCATAGACTAGAGTCAGCACTTCCAGGCTTTGGGGGAGACAGATAATGAGACTTGTTACCTGTACTTCAGCTTCCTTGAGGATGTAGTCTGCTTGGGAGAAAAGTCACGTGTAGTCTGCATACCCCCTATGACCTCGAATCCTAAGCAATGGTCCTAGCCCACGGCACGTGCCCCCAGCACGTCACTGAGCATACTGAACTACTGTCATCCACACACACATCTGGGTTCCAAGCTGGACCAGGAGCATCTTGAGGGTGGCCACAGGCTCAGAACCCCTGCCCAGACCAGGTCTGGCCCAGGGCGCATTATGCCACTGGTTAGTTCAGATATCCTACCGAATACTTTTCTGAATCCAGAGCTAGCCCTGGCTTTGTAAACTGCCAGAATGCAGTTTAGGCCCTGGTCCCCCTTCCAGCTTCCTCTTGTATTCCCAGCCGAGTACCATACACCGACCCTACTCCAAGCTCTTCCTCACGTCCGGAACATGCAAGCCGTGCCCGGCTCTTCACTCTGCCTAGGGGCCCTCTCCCTTATCTACCCCCAATTCACCTAGCAAAGCCCTGCTTAACTTTTAAGTTAAACCTGTCTCTACCATTCCCAACTCCCGGGCCCCTAACCCCTTCCAGCAGCCCCGCCGAGGCTCAGAAAGCCAGGGTTGCGGTCCTTCGTCTGCACATACGTCCCCTGCGCCTGACGCAGAGTGGTCTTTGGGGAAGGTAGTTTCAGGAGACTTCTGTCGGCGCCAGTGTGTAGGGACGGGCTCCTCAGCGGCCAGCAGCTGGCTAGCCCCTGCTGCCGGCCTCAGAGCTAAGCTTTGTCCACCGGTGCTCGCGGCCCGACGGGCCAGCCCGTCCAAGCAGGCTGCTCACCCGGACTCTTGCTCCGCAGAGGTGCCCCTGGCTCGCCTTCATCATTCCGGACACCGGGGCTCCGGAGGCAAGGGCGCAGCCCCGGTCGTCCACGTCCTCGAGGCTCGGCACCGGGCACCCGCGCGCCGGACTAGGCCCACTCGGCCCTCGCCCTGGAGGCCTTCCGGTGCCCGGCCTCGGGCCACGCCGGCCGCCTGTGGGAGCAGCTCCGGCAGTTCTGGGCCGACCACTTCTCGCGGCGCTTCTCGCCGCGGCGCCCGCCGCTGCGCCGCATCTCCTCCATGTCCACCTTCTACCTGCTGGACCACCGGACGCGCCAGGCCGAGCTGGGCCTCAGCTACGGCGCGCCGCGCACGCGCCTGAGCGACGAGGCCTTCGTGTTCCGCGGCGGCCGGTGGACCGCCGAGGGGCTGCCGGTGCGGTCGCGGCCGCCGCTGTCCTCGCCGACCGTCTCGGGCTGGAAGCCGCCGGTGCCGCGGGTCAGGAGCCAGGTGCTCCTGGAGGAGAACAACTACCTGAAGCTGCAGCAGGAACTGCTCATGGACATGCTGACCGAGACCACGGCGCGCATGCACCTGCTGGAGAAGAAGCTCGACAGCCAGGCCAACCCGGCGGCCGCGGCGCGCGCCTGGCAGAGGAAGATGCGCAAACGCGAGGGCGCGAGCGGCGTGCTCATGATCGAGCCGCGCGCTCTGGAGTCGCGCTGACGGAATAAAGCCCGTGCGGCGCACGCGCACTTCGCTGCTCGCCGCCGGCCGGGGCGCGTTCGTGGGCGGCGAAGCGGGCCTGGCGCGGGCTCCCGACTCGCGGGTAGGGACCGTCACCTAGTGCCCGGTGTGGACGGGTGACTCAGCCAGCAGCCGGTCCCGGGAGGGCGCGATAGGGCTGTGGAGGAAGGTGTGTGTGTGCGGCCCGCTGGGAACGCGGGACGGGGAGCCGGGCTTGCAGCGGGCAGTGCCCGCGGAGCGGGGCGGGGAAGGGGTGCGAGGACGGCAAAAAGGAGCAGGCAGGGGCATTCTTGGCCCAAGGGACCGAGGACCGAGTCTTGGGGGGCAGCGAAACCTTGGGCGCTCAGTGATGGAGGGTGCGGTGAGGTGGGCAGGCCGACGGGGTCGGGAACCTTGCTCCTGGCTCCCCCCGCCCTGGTTTAGAGGCGCGGAGCGGGCCAGAGGGGCTTCAGCCTGGGTCCAGAGTAAGTGTATTTTACTCAGCTTTCTCGAACCTGGGCTCAGCCTCTCCCACCTGGCCGTGTGGCTTTGGGCGAGTCGCTTCGCTGTTACAGGCCTCGCTTTTTCTCCTCCGTAGAATAAAGGGTTTGCCTGACCCAGGGTACAAACAAGCACTCCGGGGCAAATCCTGTACACGGATAGGATTTGCTCCACCCACGTTGCTTAAAAATTTTGCATTCGTTGCCAACATTTAAGAATTTGGAGATTTCACATTAAAAATCCAGATGTCCTGTGTTCTCATGAAGAAGAGTCTTGGCCACCACCTGGACCTTCATTCTGTCCAGTCAGCAGTTTCCTTGAGCTGAAGTGCGGCTGTCACCTCCTGGTCGCTTCACTCCTTCCTTGTTGTAGGTGTCTGATTTTGATCTCTTCCTAGATCCCTTCTGGGTCAATGTTCTTTCCCAGGACGTGGGGAGCCCATTTCCCCAACCCCCATACACACAAGGTACTATATAAGATGCTTTGGGGAGTGGACTGTACTTGTGGTGACAGTGGTCCTTGCAATCTCTAACCTCTTCCCTGGAATATAGACCATGCATTTCTGCATCCACTGAAACTTGAGACTGGGGACACATTTCTCGAGGGCCATATGACAAGAGAGAGAAGTGGGTGTCCTGCCTCAGCCTTTGTTTCAGGAGCAGACTAGGGATTACTAAACATCTGCTTTGTATAAAGATGTGTCCTTATTCATTCAAGCAGCAAAACAATACAAAACAGGTCATTAGACACAAAATTGAAAAACATTTCTTTTGAGCAGTGCTTTTTTGTATTTTAATAATTCTATATTTACATTAACCTAGATTAAACAAAGTATTTAAAATAGTTATGATGGTGAAATGAATTTTCCTTTTAAAATAACTAAGAAAGCGGGAGGGCCTGGCTGGCTTAGTCAGAAGAGCAAAGTGACTCTTGATCTCAGGGTTGGGAGTTCGAGCCCTGCATTGGGAGTAGAGATTACTTAAAAAAAAAAAAAAAAAATCTTGGGGCACCTGAGTGGCTCAGTCGGTTAAGCATCTGCCTTTAGCTCAGGTCATGATCTCAGGGTCCTGGGATGGAGCCTCCCCCCCACCCTCAGCAGGGAGTCTGCTTCTCCCTCTCCCTCTCCCCCCCATGCTTTCTATCTCAACTAAATCTTAAAAAGAATAAGTAAAAATAAAAAATAAGATAACTAAGAAAAAAATATATACAGAGAAGGAAATGAGAAGGGAATCAAAATGATACACTAGAAAAAAAATCAAACCCAAAAGAAGGGACTAATGGAGAAACCATACAAGTGAAAGACGCTAGACACAAAGGACCATGTATTTTGGGATTCTGTTTGCTTTTTTTTTTTTAAGATTACACGAGCG